GGAAGGGAGAGAGGGTGTGAGCAGGGAGAGAAAGGGATGGGGGTAAGGAGAGAAAGAGAGAGTTGGAGTTAGAGTTAGAGATAGGTAGATAGAGAGATAAGTAGACAGAGAGCGGGAGAAAGAGAAAAGGTGTAGAGAGAGAATGAGTGTTAGAGAAAGTTAAAAGGATTTAGAGGGAGAGGGAGAAAGAGAGAGAGAGAGAGAGAGACATACAAACTAAATTAATTCAATTTAATGCTGCTGAAGGACAGATTATTATTTTTAATCTGTCATACTTCCCAGTGGGAGACGTAGGCGCCAGTAACAACATGGGTTTTGTGATGAAGATGAATGCTTCACAGCCACGGAGGCTGTCTACGAACTAGTTTCTCTCTGTCTTTCTATCTTCTCTCTCTGTCTTTCTCTCTCTCTCTCTCTCTCTCTCTTCTCTCTCTCTCTCTCTCTCTCTCTCTCTCTCTCTCTCTCTCTCTCTCTCTCTCTTTTCCCTCTCTTCCTCTATACTCTCTCTCTTCCTCTTTACTCTCTATCTCTATCACTCTCTCTCTCTATTCTCTCTCTCTCTCTCTCTCTCTCTCTCTCTCTCTCTCTCTCTCTCTCTCTCTCTCTCTCTCTCTCTCTTCTCTCTTCTCTCTGGGTCTGGTGTTTTTTTGATCCCTCGCTGCTATTGATTTCAGGGGTCTTGTAGTTCCCGACTTGGTGGTGTATGGAGACATACGTATTCCTTCACTGAGATGGTTGTGGCGACGAAGCGTGGACGAAGGTTGTGTCTCGTGCTGGTGTAGGGAAGTCCCGGGCAGGGGGTAGCGCGGCAGGGGCGTAGGTGACCCAGGAGGAAGCTGCGTCCGAGCGGAGGGGTGACTCGAGGTAGAGTGGGGTTGTAGAGTCCAGGAGCGGGTCAAAGGTCACGAGAGCTGGGAGAAGCGTCCGGGCGAGGCCATGGTTCGATGTAGAGTGGGGTTGTAGAGTTCAGGAGCGGGTCAAAGGTCACGAGCGCTGGGGCGTGGATGGTCAGCGCGCCGTCGTGATTGGTAGCAAAGGGCGTGACCTCCAGGAACGTCTGACCACTCAGACTCTCTCTCGACTTTTTTATCATTATCACCATCATCATTATCATCACCTCATCATTGTCATCCTCATTACCATCATTATCATTATCATTACCATTACCACCATCATTATCATCACCACCATCATTATCATCACCATCATTATCATCAATTAATCATCATCACCATCATTATCATTATCATCACCATCATTATCATCCCACCATCAACACCACCCACCACCATCACCAAACGCTCTCTCATACTATCGCTGACAATACCTTTATGGATTTATTTCTAGTCTGTGTATATGCAGGTTTGTACGATTTTTTTAAAAAAGGATAACCATTCCTATTCCAACCGTTTTCCCGAAACCATTATTTACACCTCCTCTCCCCCTCCCCTCCCCTCCTCCACCCTCCCCCCCTCCCCCTCCCCCTCCTCCCATCACCCTCACCATATCGCCATTTTCGTATGCATATTCCCAGTTATATAATTACGTCACGCCTTCTTGCTAGAATGAAAGCGATACCCTTTATCCGCCCTTTAGTGTAACGAGGAACACAGTTAAGGGTATAGAATGGTCTCATTTCAATGATTAATGGGCAGTTTGTGTGGGTTACGGGTTGTTTGCGGGCTGGTGCTAATGCGTCATGTTAGGGTATGGTTTTTTCTGTTTTTTTTTTCGGTCTTTTTTTTAGGGTTTTCTCCTTTTTTTTGTCTTTCTCTTCGTGTGTTTTTTTTTTCGGTCTTCTTTTTTAGTTTTTTTTTCTTTCTCTTCGTTTGGTCTTCTTTTTTTTATGTCTGCGTTTTATTCTGTTTTTTTCTTTCTCACTGTTTTCTGTTTGTCTCTCTCTGTCTCTCTCTCTCTCTCTCTCTCTCTCTCTCTCTCTCTCTCCTTTCTCTCTCTTCTCTCTCTCTTCTCTCTCTCTCTCTCTCTCTCTCTCTCTCTCTCTCTCTCTCTTCTCTCTTTCTCTCTCTCTCTCTCTCTCTCTCTCTCTCTCTCTCTCTCTCTATCTCTCTCTCTCTCTCTCTCTCTCTCTCATTGTTTTTCTCCCTTTTCTCTTTATCTTACCTCCACCATGGATGCTATGCTTTTGGTAGCGTCGGTTAGTTTGTCTGTTGGTTAGTAGAATAACTAAAAAATTTATGACCAGATTTTTTTAAGGAATTTTATCAGAGGTGTCTTAGCCCAACTTAAATTCATGGATCCATTTTTTTTTTTTTTAATTATTCATTTGCATTGCATATTAGGCTAACACGAGCGTCACTTTGCTATTCTTGAAGTGTGAATATTCTTGATGCATCAGTGACTCTCTCTGATTGCTTCTTGTCTTGTTTTTTCGTTTTTCTCTTCTTTTTTCCGTTATTTTCCATCCATTTTCTCTTTTTTTATCGCATTGCTTTGTCCTTATTAGTATTAAATGTCGTGTTTGTGTTTCTTCTTTCTGTTTACTCTGTTATTCTACATCGTGTCCCTTATGTCTGCCGTTCCATTTGGTCTTCTGTATTCTCTCTCTCTCTCTCTCTCTCTCTCTCTCTCTCTCTCTCTCTCTCTCTCTCTCTCTCTCTCTCTCTCTCTTCTCTCTCTCTCTCTCTCATCTCTCTTCTCTCTCTCTCTCTCTTCGTACCAACATGTCTCGTGTCTATTTCTCTTCGTTGTAGGTTAATACGCAGTGTTGCGTTGCATTATATATTTTTTGCGCATGTATTTTTCACCCTAAATATCATGTTTGTTTTGCGTCCGCCCTCCACTGCCGTTTCTATTTCCTCCATTCCTTCTTGTCATTTCTCTTTTGTGCATCTCATATTTATATATATATTTTTTTTTCATTTCTTTTTTTTTTTAACTCATTTTTTAAAGTAAAATGTCAGTCCCTCTTGTAAAATACTCGTTTTTTTTTGCTTTCTGTTTTAAACAATCCCCGTTTTCTATTTACTCTGGTCTAACGGCCATGTCCCGTTCCATATTCTTCGTACCCTTCTCTCTCTCTCGAGTTAAGAGATATTTGAAAATTTTATATTTTTCTTGTCGCTTTATTTTATTATTATTATTATTATTACATTATCATTATTATTGTTGTTGTTGTTGGTTGTTGTTAGCAGTAAGAGTAGCAAACGCAGCAGCAGTAGTAATGTTCATATTAGTAGTAGTAGTAAAACATAACTATATACGCATACATTTTTTTTGGCTTGCGTTTTGAATTTTACAAGTGACTTTGATTTCCATTCACGACCTACTATCTGCCCCATTAATCTATTATCAATGAGAACGATTATTTCACATTTTTAAATATCTCATTATTTTCTCTCTCTCTCTCTCTCTCTCTCTCTCTCTTCTCTCTCTCTTCTCTTCTCTCTCTTTTTATCTCTCCTCTCTCTCTCTCTCTCTCTCTCTCTCTCTCTCTATCTCTCTCTTTTCTCTCTCTCTCCTCTCTCTCTCTCTCTCTCTCTCTCTCTCTCTCTCTTCTCTCCTCTTATCTCTCTCTCTCTCTCTATCTCCTCTTCTCTCTCTCTCTTCCTCTCTCTCTTCTCTCTCTCTCTCTCTCTCTCTCTCTCTCTCTCTCTCTCTCCTCTCTCTCTCTCTCTCTCTCTCTCTCTTCCTCTCTCTTCTCTCTCTCTCTCTCTCTCTCTCTCTCTCTCTCTCTCTTCTCTCTCTCTCTCTCTCTCTCTCTCTCTCTCTCTCTCTCTCTCTCTCTCTCTCTCTCTCTCTCTCCTCTCTCTCTCTCTTGTTTATTTTTTTTACGCCTTTATTTTCCGTCTGGGTAATACTAGACGTCTGTTTACATAGATTTTAATGTAATTTCACTTATTACATGTGGCCGTTTTAATATGCACATTTGAGATGAGAGGTTTGATATGTACTTTTGAGATGACCATTTTGATATGTACGTTTGAGATGAGCTTTTGATATGTACGTTGAGATGACGTTTTAATGAACATTTGAGATGATCGTTTTTGATATGTACGCTTTTGAGATACCAGTTTTAATACGTATATTTTAAGATGACAGTTTTGAGAAGTGAATTCCAGAATAATTTGACTTGAAAACTAGATAAATAGACAAGCAGAATTTGTTTTTACCGAGACAGATGAGTGTAAAATGAGAGAAAAAATAGACAAATAAATAAGGTGCGTTTTGCCGAGACGAGATGAATAGAAAACGAGAATGAAAGACTAGCCAATCCAAGCTTCGCGAACTAGGAATGTAAGAATGATGGAGTAAAAAAATATGTAACAACGAGAATGAAAGAGCGAGGATGTTCTGCCGACGTGGCTGGCAGGAGAGACCTCGAAGGGGGTGTAATGTTGGCCAAGGATGAGAGACCCGAGACCGAACAGGTGCTTGGTCTCCGCTTTCACAATGGGTCTGATCACGTGTGTGGAATTGTGTTCATCACGCTGAAGATATTTCGGACATGCTCTGGCGGTTGTTAAAGCGAAAATAACGTGTTGTTGATATTGTTATTCCAATTGTTGTTGTTGCTGTTATTATTTTTGTTTTTGTTATTCTTGTTAGTTATTATTGTTATTATCATTATTGTTGTTGCTGTTATTATGGCTATTATTATTGGTTATTACCATTATTATTATTGTTGTTGTTATCAGTATTATTATTTACATGTCCATCATCATCACCAACATTCTTCTCATTATATTAACCTTTCACAAGTGACATAACATATGTTTAAACCTTTAAAGAAAACGACACATCACATTGTTCTCTCGAAAAACGAATCAAAACCTAGCCTCTTTTACAACTTCAATCAACTCTTTCCCATTTACAGACGAAGGGAAAGTAAAAGAGTGATAAAAAAAAAGAGAGAAAGAGAAAAAATATACTCCACAAGACTGATAAAAGAGAGGAAAAACAGATTCATATTCCACAAACCACTGCAAGTCCCATCAACGCAGCAGCCCGTATAATGACTCACAGTATAATGGTTCTTGCAGGTGTGAGCGTCTGGTTCAGCATGCGGTTGGCTGAGGATTCTGCCCAGGATGAGACTGTCCGTGCATCTGCTGGCCTGCTGTGTCTCCTTTCTGCTGGGATTCATCCTCTTCTGCCTCTATGGCGGTTTTGGTAACCCTGGACAGTCCTGTTAGTTGAACTTGATGGAATTTCTTTGGTTGTCCGTGCGTCATTATCGACATTTCCCGTTTTCTTCGATTGGGTTTTCTACAGATATTTAGAAGGGAGACTAATTTAAAAGTAGACCCGATGTATTTGAAGGGTAAAATTGAAGAATACGAGATTGTGAAACCGACGGAAGAAATCGCTAATGCCATTCTATTACATTGACAGATTTTAGGCTTCCTCCAGCAACGAGATACAACCTTAAAGAGGAAGACAAACCAGGTTATGGCGATGTTGGAATATTACAGGTATGAGAGAAAAATAAGTACCCAGCAGTATGATTATGTAATAAATGCTTTGCAAGTGATGATTGATCAGTATTGCTCTAACAACTTAATGAATATGCCATTATTTTGTTGACGTATTTGTATTTTCTCTTGTTTCTTCGACAGAAATTAGGCGTTGAATTTTTGAAAGACTTTAAGAATCCCTGTTGGTATGAATATGTGGAGGAAGAGAAGCAGATTAACTTTTACCAAGAAATTATCAAGTCTTCTTCACGGCTCAGGTATGCAGGAGAAGAGAGAGGATGAAAAGGAAAAGAGGGAGGAATATGGGAAAGGGGGGCACACCACATGCACACACGCACACGCACACGCACATGCACACACGCAACACGCACACACGCACGCACACGCACACACACACACACACACACACACACACACACACACACCCACACACAACACACACACACACAACACAACACACACACATTGCACACTTGTAATAAATACCATAAAGCCAACGAGACCAAAACAACCTTTTAAAACTGTTTTTTTATTCAGATACGTAACGAGGAAGAATTAAGCAACGAGACCAAAACAAACCTTTTAAAAACTTTTTTTTTTCTTCAGGTACGTAACGAGGAAGCCAACGAGACCAAAACAACCTTTTAAACTTTTTTTTTTCTACGTAAGGAAGAATTAAGCCAACGAGACCAAAACAACCTTTTAAAACTGTTCTTTTTTTCTTCAGATACGTTACGAGGAAGAATTCAGGCACAGTCCTACGCTGCCTGCCCTACTTCTTCCTAGTCGGGCAGCCGAAGTGCGGAACCACCGATATCTTCCAGCGAATTAATTCCCACCCTGACGTCATCCAGCCGGCTCTGAAAGGACCGCACTGGTGGACGCGAAGGAGATATGGTAGGTGGTGGCTTTGTGGTGGACTGAAGGGTGGTATGTTGTGAGTAGAAGTGAGTTGTGAATGTCCGCCGGTTTGTTAAAAAAAAGTCCGCCGGTTTAAAAAACAACAACAACTGCTTGGTGCGCGACCCAGTGAATATTTATTTATATGATGTCCAATACGCTGAAATATGCACATATATATCTACCTGTCTGTTAGATATGCAATTAGCTGTATACGTATCTCATAGATGTGCATATTTAGAGTGATGAATATGCATTTATTCATGTATATATGCATGTCCATATGTATGAATATTTATTAGGTTTCATATATAGTTGGGTTATGTACTTCATATTGATATTACGGATATGAAATATAAATGTTTGTTATTGAAGTGAAATATTGAACAGCGACCCACGCGGGGAGAATAAAAATGGATGATGCATGATACTTAATCGACATTTCGTTTTTCATTTCCTACAGAAATACGCATTTCTGAAGATGTAAATCGAAACGTCATTTAAAGTCGTCTGCATTCCAACCTATTTACTTAATACAATAAAAATACATGCGCTATGCTGCAGCCTCAGATACCCCCGTCTCTTTTCCATTTCATTTCCCAAATCGCTTATGATTTGCTGTCTAATCTAGTCCACGCTAGGGTTTCTTCTCTTCTCTTCTCCTTCTTCTCCTCCTTCTTCTCCTCTCCCTTCTCCTTCTCCTTCTCCTCCTTCCCTTCTCCTTCTCTTCTCCTTCTCCTTCTCCTTCTCCTTCTCCTTCTCCTTCTCCTTCTCCTTCTCCTTCTCCTTCTCCTTCTCCTTCGCTTCGCCTCCCGCAAAACCTCACATCTTTCCCTTCTAGGACAACCCTCCTCGGACAGGCCGGTATCCTTCATGGAGTATCTGGCGCTCTTTAACTACGCCGCCACCAAGATCGAGGAGCAGTGGGTGCTTTCCGGCAACAAGCAATTCCACGAGAGGATCACCGGCGATGGAAGCACGTCGACCTTGTGGGACAGCAGCCAAACCATGACTTATTTATACTCCGTGCTGGATGACAGCGACGTGGACGAGTTGGTCATGGACTACGTGGCTAAAAGAAATGGCTCGTTGAAAAGGGCGAGGGTTAACGGCGTATTAAATAATGTTTTTATTAGAGGAAGGACGAAGAGGGATCGGTTTGATTGCTGTTATGATGGTTCTAAAGATGGTGATTTTAATGCGAGAGTGGAGAAAGTGACATATAGTCAGAACTATAGTATTCAACCGGGAGCAGTGTTGCCAATCACGGTGGCTGATGTTATACATTCAGTTATTCCAAACTCAAGAATTATAGCAGTGATAAGGGAACCGGTGTCAAGGTAATTATGGCTATTTGTTTTCTATTATGGACGTCAGGTTTGAGTGTTGTTTGTGCGTGTGCGTGTGCGTGTTGCGTGTTGCGTGTACGTGTGTGCGTGTGCGTGTGCGTGTGCGTGTGTGTGTGTGTGTGTGTGCGTGTGTGTGTGTGTGTGTGTGTGTGTGTGTGTGTGTGTGTGTGTGTGTGTGTGTGTGTGCGCGTGCGTGTGTCTTTTCTTGTACAGTTCTGGTTATATTATGCTTGATGTATTTTTAGAGAGGAAACGATAGGGACTCAGATAAAGAGAGAGTGTCAAAGTGACACACGCGCACATAGAGAAACGCAGGCACCAGAGGCGGGGCTTCCATGGCTGCACGGGGTGGCATCTGACCCCCCTGCAATCTGATAGGCCACCCCGTGTCCCCCCCCCCCCCATGGTCATTGACTCGTCGTAACGGCCCCTGCATATATAATGTGCCCCCCCCCCCCCCAGATTTATTGTTGTTACCCCCTGTGCCCCCTCACCATAAAAATTCTCTCGCCCGCCCCTGGCAGGCTCACGTAAAATATATATATAAGACCTTAGGCACAACAACGCGCGCACACACACCGTATACAAAATACATTCATATACCGTCATGCACAAAAAAAACTAGTAATTAGTTACATTAGGTACACGTACATACAGTCGGTCATACCAACAGGCATAATATCCACCATTCACCAATATATACCATGTTTCTTTTCTTCTTTTAGGTTGTATTCCAGTTACCTGTTCTTCAATCTAAGATCAGCTGTCTCACCTGAGAGATTTGACCTCTTAGTCAAGAGCTCCCTTGAAATGTGGGAAAACTGCACAACAGAATACTCAGTGAGAAGTTGTGCCTACAATAAAACATTGCAAAATTCCATGGTAATTTTCATTTTTTTAAAAATTTCTTTCCACAAAAAGTTTTATGATTTGAATGAGTGTACAGTGTAATACAGTGTACTGTAAAATACAAGAAAGAAGTTCAGTATTTGGATTGTTTGTATTTTTAGCAACTGTAGAACCTATGTGCAACACGATCTGATTTCATAAAATTAAAGCCATATATAATCCATTATAGTGTTCCTATCATTCCAGGTTGAATAACAGCAGAGGCAAAATATTATTTTTTCTCATTGCAGGGTGTTCGTTTGTATAATGGGTTGTATAGTGTATTTCTGTGCGACTGGCTGAAGGTGTTTCCTCGAGAACAGGTGCTAGTTGTCAGAATGGAGGATTACCATCAAGATATGGTCTCTTCATTAGCTACAATCTACAATCATCTTGGCTTAAGTAAGTTTGAATATTGCTTTCAGTTCCAGAGCTCCAAAGTTCCTTTCATGTTGGTTAAAATGTGGTAATACTTTGTTTTCTATGGTGTAATTTAGTCTTGATAGATAAGATGCAAGTTGCATAGTCAAACATGAGCAATTGTTCCCTGAAGATGAAGGATTATGATATTGACAGATAAATGAAAAGATAGATAGATATATAGCCTCTTTTCTCTATAAGAAAAATAAAGACGGATACACAAGAGAAACAGCCTCACTGTATTTCCAAAAGTGACAAGATTATATAGTGATGAAATGAACTGATGAAATGAACCCGTTAACCTCTTCACACGTCTCTCTGATGTTACAGGACCCCTGACTGATGACGAAGAAGAGGTAGTCAACACAGAACCAATACACAATAAAAGCAAGAGGAAAAAGACTGTAGGCAAGATGCTCAACTCTACTGCTTATATTCTGCGAGAGTTTTACAGAAAGTTTAACTCGGACTTGGCGGAGCTCTTGGGAGACTCGAGATTTACTTGGGAAGACACATATGCTACATGGTAGTCCTTTATTTTTAAATTCACACTTACAAGGAAGGGTTGTATTTTTTCCAGTCAAAGGCTTGGTGTTTATTTGGATGAAGTGCAGTAATGGATGAACATATTGTGTTATATTGATGAACAATGTTTGGTACAATTATAAGCCAGTTTTATACCTTTTTTTCTTTCTCTTTTTAGAAGTTTACTATACAATTTTTATTTATCCAGAGTCTAGTATATTTGTATTATATCATTATTATTTATTCTTATAATCATCATGTCTTTTGATTTTTATTGCTATTCATAAACATCTTAGTTTTTACAAGAAAATGAAATCATGAAAATCTTTTAAAAATGTTTATCCTTCTTCCACATCTGAGAAGCAGAGTGGATATATTCTGCCTTGCCTTGTGATCTACTTCATATTGAAGTTCAGTGACTCATTAAATGACTAATAAACAAGTTCTTTGTTGTACAAAGACCATGGACTTAACTGTTTTTATCTCTTAATTATTGAAAAGTGTCAGATATGGATCTGTGGAGGCCATATTTTAATAATAATGTGTTTTGGTCTGTTGTATCATTTTAACAAAAATGTTTTTTGGAACTTCTGTATGATCAAAATACTTATTTGAAATAATCCATTTTATTGATCTATTTATAACTCCTCACCATAATGTATGTCATATTAACAAATACAGCAAGAAATAAAAGAAAATGGAAATAAATCTTCGCATACATGAATTTGTATTTTACTTTTGGACCCAACATATTAAGTGGAAATGCATAAATTGATTTGCGTACAGGTACCACCAAGGTCACATTTGAATCTCTATGCTTAGAAAATGTCACTTTCTGCTGCAAATTATAGTCTAAACTAAAATAACGAAGGTCTTTCATGCTTTGTTTATTTCTAAGGACTGCATGCATTTTACTATCATAGTTTGGTTATTCTTTTAACAAATTGAAACAAGACAAACATACATGTAATAACAAGTGAAAAAAAAAACAATGCATTCTTTATATTTACAATAAGGAAGATATAAGGTTGTGCAGTATTTCTTCTCTATGAATCAAAGAAGAAAACAGGAATTTTTAGCATAGAATTTGGACTGATATTACGAGTGACAACATGCATAGGATGAAAACTGCATCTCCAGTTTAGTTCTTGAAAGACTTACTGGTAATGGTAAAAGGAAGTCATTTTGAACTCTTTTTTAATTACGGAAATGTGACTGCATATTTTGAGGTAGTTTTGTAGGAGTATTCATCAAGCTTCTTGGTGTAGTGATATATGATATGTTTTTATCCAAAGTGCACTATCAATTTCCAAGAGTGATTATGTGATATGAATCTTTCCCGGATATTGCAGAAAAAACTGACATTAAAGCTCTTGCTCAAATTAGTATACTTTACCTGAAAAATACATCATCATAGTTTTCCGACCAGCATAAGAGATGTAATATGTTGCTCATTTATTTACCTTTCATTAGGGTATTTATCTAATGATATGTGTACCTGCTCAGAACTCATTCTGACATGTTTTATGTGTGAATGCCTCAAACTCATACCATATGAATACACAAAGACTGAATTTTATGCATAATAAATATTGCTCAACTTATTTTCAACCAAATGACAATTTTCTCCTCAGTCCTCCATTGTACCGCACTAGTTTTCTATACAAGGGTAAAAATAAAATTAATTACAAAAGGTGTCAGTATGTATTTTATCTCGCAATGTTTGCGAAAATCATATTTTTTTCAGCGTCTTTCAGTATAACCAGATAAAGAAACTCTTCACTGTTCACTGATATAAAGAAACAGGCAAGTGTACTCTTTTGAAATCACTGAAATTCACAAAATTTATTGTACTCCTTTTTTTTCAATTAGTATTTGATTAGTACAGGAAGGATGATAATACTTAAAAGGACAATTGCTCATCCATTTCTTAATTAACTATCTATTAAAAAGAAGAAAAAATAATAATTATAAAAAACTTCCATCATTAATTTCTCTTAGTATTCTAACTGTTTACAGGCCGTAATTAGTATTTTTTTCGTTTTCTGGTAAGTTTCATTTTAAATAAATTAATACAGTAAATGGGTTATCCACAACATTTAAAATCAAATGGTATTAAAAAACCACAGCAAAACAGTAAAAAAAAGAAGAAGAAAAAATAAGTTTCTGTTTCCAACACGACAAAATAAGAATGTTCTCTTAATAGAAAACGTTTATGGACCATACATATTCCACATGCCAACGCAAGCCAGTATGGCCATCTTCTAAAGAGAAGTAAATATATATATACACAATTTTGTTAACAATATAGGTTTTGGAAATTTACTTACATCAAACAAAAAAAAAAAAAAGAAGAAAAACCTCCCATATATATAAACAATCTGTTCATGCATAACTTTTAAAAAGTCTGACATATCTAAATCCATTCGTATTTTCAAGCTCTCCAGAATTTCAAGAAAATATCAGAACAACATGCATCCTTCTGACTAAGTAAATCCTCAATGAAAACACATTTAACAAAACAGGTTATTAAATGTTTTATATTTCTAAGCTCTTTCCAATCAAAGGTTTTAGGCAACCCTTGATGAAAAATATAAAGTCACAGATCATGTCAACTTTTCTGATGTGTGTGTTTTACATCTTTCTCACAATTTCTTCTTTGTGAAAATATCAGATATCCAACTAATTACATGATTCATGCTTCAATGTTCAATTTTCCTTAACATGAAATTCCACATCAATAATCTGTAAATCATTTCTTAAACATAGCTGCAGAGACCCCTGACATTAAGCATTTATAAACATCAATGTGACAATGGATTGCAAAAATGTTTTAACATTACAAAAACAAAAAATCACAAATGTTGACCTTAGTTTAAATTTGTTTTTTTATCAAAGATTTGCTGACAAGTGCAGGATATAAGTTATGTGGTAATCAAATCGCTTACAACCTACTGAAACCTTAAGTCATACTGCAAAGCCTTATTTGTGTGTTTGTGTGCTTACGTGTTGAAACATAAAAATGCAGTGGTTTGAAATTCTCATAATCTACTACTTACAGTCCCCTCATAAACCCTAGTCCTCTAGACACAAAATGGCAAAATTTCTAATGAGATCCATTAAGTAAGTGCTTTTGCACTCCTCTACAGCATTAACACTGGGATTTTAGGTACAAAGAACAAAAGAATAAAAATAATAATTATTGTAGCACACAGTAAATTGCCTTTCCAGACACAAGTTTCACTGTCCATGGAACTAGTTATGAAGTTCAACTTGTAAGGACCCTGAACACTGTGAAGACATGAACAGAAGGTGCATGAAGCAAAGTTGGTTTTGCTCTTGAAATAGGTTGTTCCACAAACAGTGCTTATGCCGAATTAGACAATACATAGCAGCCTTACACTGACTATTCACTTACACTGCAAAAGCAAAAACTTGTATGTCTGAAATTCGTCCGACTCAACTAGTAGTAGCACAATCAAATAGAACATGCACGATTTAATCTACATAACAAATTAGCCTATCAGAACAGCCCATTTCAAAAATCACAAGATACAGCATTCCCATCTATTGCTATCTCCCTTTTCTTTAATTCAAAATCCCATCTTTTACAGAAAAGAAAGAAGGAAAAAGAAAAATTAGGAGTATAATAAATACAACTCAACATTCCAACACTCCAATGTATCTCATGAGAAGTGAAACACGGCTTCCTTACAGTTGGATGGATGTCACAGGCTCTTTCTCCATTTTTGGAAACAAGGTGATAGCTTTTAGTATTTTATCACCTTCTTCACTTTTTTGTGTAGGGGGATGGGGTGGCTTGATCAGATTACAAGAATGCTGTGCTTTGCGTTGCTTTTTGTTTTCAATTTTTTAACGTGGTTGCTCGAAAGAGATAAAAAGCTTTGACGTTTATGGGTCTCGTCACACATGACACCAGAGAAAATAGCTGCATGACATTATGTGCACCACAAGACAAACACAACACATGTGAACCAATATGAAGTTTGACAATTTGGCAGTTTCAGAGACTGAAGGAAGATCTTGACAGAGCATTGCTCTTAAAATCACAAACTTATCTGAAAAGAAGGAAAAATAATACACTTTATAAATGAAACTAGTTATACAAATGGAGCATGATCAAACTATTATGCTGTAATTGATTAACAGATGATATTGCACAAAAAACATGTTGAAATAGAGAAGTAAAAGAAACTATTATGTGCCCAACACTTTTTCCATAATAACAGGTTCTGCTGAAGTCTTAATATATAAATATTTCATTTTGCAGTGATTATCATAATAATGACACACATATACTGTAACAAATATGAATCTTACACTTGACTCTGCCATGATATACTCCCCTTAATCAAATGTAAATTATATCCACACACATACACACACACTGACACATCCACTCCCACACCTACAGGGACTTACCGACAAAGTGTTGCATCAATCTGTGTAAGAGACGGAAGTGCAAGTTTGATCTTCCGTCGGTAGTTGGGGTCCCTCTGTAAAGGATTTCCCTCTAGGTAAACTGTTTGGAGGCCTTTAGCATTCTCCAGTTGCTTCAGGTCATTCCAGTCACTGATTTGATTGCTGTTGAACTGCAATAAAAATATTGATTATAATATATCAAGCTTATCCTCTACCTCAAAGTCAAATTTGATCCCACATCCAAGTGGACGTAGGGGAATATGTTTGAAGAAGAACATCTGTCCCATGCTGCCAGGTGGCCAGTTCCATTCTTCCCAATAAATACCTAACTTAATCCTTTAACTGCAATGTGAAGTGCATTGAAAGAGAGCTCTCTCAGAATTAAACTCGCTACACATGCTACCATTAGTGCAACTTTATTACTTGATCACGACTGAACCAAGCAAAATAATGTGCTCATATTTGTTTTTCCTATACTTTTCAATGCCTTCTTTCATTTCAGTAGAGATTCCTTTCTCTTTTTTTTTTTCAATTTTGCTAAATCTGTATATGGGAGGGTAAGCCAGAAAACCTAATTACATAGTTACCAGGTTAATGATGTAGAAATTAATCTAGGGTTATATTTTGAATAGTTGTAATTTGAGGACCTTGTATTTCTTCTTACCTACTTAGAACATTCATAATATGGGGACCTAATTTTTCTTTTTACCTATTTTAGATATTCATAATCCAGGGACCTTATCTTTGGATACAATAATCTTTACAAATTACTCTCTCTTACTATTTCTTCAAAACATAACAATGTCCCAAACTAAGTATCACCCCCCCCTGAAAAAATCATCATCAGTCTGAAAAACAAGAACTAAAGATGACGATGATGATGATGATGATGATGATGATGATGATGATGATGATGATGATTGATGATGATGATGACTGATGATTGATGATTGATGATTGATGGATGATTGAAGAATGATTGATGATGATGATTGATGATGATGAACAAAATAATAATAATAATACTAAACACATCATCATCTCACCCAAAACTCCTCTAACTGATGGAGATGACTGATGTTCTCAATCTTTTTGATTCTATTGACGGCCATATCTAAAGTCTGGAGTTTGGCATTGTTGTCGAGGTTCTCCAGCTTTTCAATGCCGTTGTGGGAACAGTAAATCTGCTCGAGGTTCACCAGGCGACTCAGTCCTTCCACCTTGGTAAGTCTGTTGCTCTGAAAAATGGAGAAAGTGAAAATCTGTTATCCAGACGCACACACGCGGAAAAAAAAAATCATATTCAATACTATTACTACTACTACTACTAACAATAATAATTATGTAATGATTGATGATCACTGATTATAATGAAGATAAAGAATATAACTATGTTGATGACAATGACAATAATGACACAAATAAAATTAGCAATAATAAATCATAATCATAAAAATAATAATAATACATCAAAAACAACAACAAATAATAACAACAATAATATCAACAATAATAATAATCATTATAACTATAATAATAATATTAATAATAACAATAATAATCATCATCATCATCATCATCATTACCATTATTACTATCACTATTATCATCATTATCATTATGATAATGAACATAATCATAACCATGAAAATGGAAATGAAAATTAATATAAAAATAAAGACGAAAACAAATGAAAATCAAAATTAAAAAAACAAATTAATGAAATAAAATAAAAAGTAAAAAAGAAAATGAAATAAAATAAAAAGTAAAAAAGAAAATGAAATAAGAATAAAGATGAAAAAAAAAAAATAATAATAATGACAAAAATAAAAAATAAAAATAAAAATGAAAACAAAAATAAAGATGAAAATAAATGAAATGAAAACAGAAAAATAATAACAAAAATGGATGTGAAAATAAAACTGATAATAAGTATAAAGGAAAAGAAAAGAAAAAACACTATTACTGCTACTACTACTAATAATAATAATAATCATACAATAAAAATAATAACAATAACATTAATTCAAAAAAGAATAATAATAATAATAAATCGAAGACTTCAGAGAGCGCGCATACTTCCCCCAGGTAATTGGCAATAAAAGAAAAAAAAAAAAAAAAAAAAAAAAAAAAAAAAAAAAAAAAAAAAAAAAAAAATCCTGGATCTGAATCATAATCTGGATCACCACCAAAATTCAACGGCATCTAAGACGGGCTAAGACACACATCTGGTAAAAAAATTATAAAATCTGTTCTAACTTTTGCCTACCAACCAACAAACAAATAAACTAGCCAATGCTACCAATAATAATAATTAAAACAATAATAACAATAACAGCAAATATAATAATAATAATAACAACAATGATAACTATAATAATGATAATAACAATAATAGATAATAACAAAAATAATAATAATAAAATAAATAATAATAAATAATAACAATAATAATAAATAATAACAATAATAATAAATAATAACAATAATAATAAATAATAACAATAATAATACAAACAACAACAACAATAATAGCAGAGCAACAATAACAGTAATACTTCAAGACCCTCATTGATCGTACCGGCAAATGACTGACAATGACAACATAATGGTAACAAAATGGAATAAAACGATGACCAATAAGACCAATAATACTAGACCAATAAATAATAACAGTAATGTTGCGGAAACATAATAGTAATGGAAATACTTGCCCCCACGCCCACAGAGAGTTCAGTTTATCAATTTACACATAGATGGCTTCACAAGTACTTAGTAACTCCAATCTACTTCATCTATTTAACTATTACTACTTTAAATTAATAATATAATAATTATAATGTCAATAACAACAATAGCATAATAATATAATAGTAATAAATAATAAAAAAAAATAATATAATAATAATAATAATAAATATAATAATAATAATAAATAATAATAATAATAAATAATAATAAATAATAATAATAATAACAATAATAATAATAATAATAATAATAATAATAATAATAATAATAATAATAATAATAATAATAATAATAATAATAATAATAATAATAATAATAATAATAATAATAATAATAATAATAGCAACAATAATAATAATAGATATTAATAGCATTAAATATGAAATTTGGGAAAATTAATGAGCACAGACTGCTAATTGACTCTTCGGTAGCTGAACACTTGCTTTGCCATCTTCTTATTGATACAATTTACAAACTGACTCAGAAGTTTTGGACCTTGATACCAAAACTATTATATTTTGACATGTAATAAATTTTGATATATGCTATTGATAGGCATCTATACATTTTTACCTTAACACGAATAGTATGGCTGTAATGTTTTGCTTTTACAATTTGTCAGGATTTTTTAGTGTCTGAAAAGTAGCTAATGATGCTGTATCACCACTTTGCTTTTACATCTTTAATATTTCTTGTATCTCACCTCCTGCTTATGTTCTTATCAACTGTTTTCCAGTCACCCTTTCATATATCATTGGATTGGGTGATACTTTATATACAACATTTCTTTGCAGGCTTACCCAGAGAATATCATTCTTTGAGGAGCTGCACTGTCTTCATTTACAGGATGAGTATGTACAGAAAGAGTTGTTTGATACTGCTGGATATCCTTCCCTTCCTCATCCCATTACACAGCTGTCTGGACTACTACTACTACCAACTACTACTAACTACTAGTAACTACTACTACTGTAGCCGACCCCCGCAACCTGCAGCGTGGCATACTTCCCCAAGGTTGGGTCCAGGTCCACAGCCTGTCCTCTCGCCCTAACCATCAGCAGCTTCTCAAAGACGCATACCGAGACCTGACTGGTTGACACCGGACACCTCACGGCTTGCCCATTGGACCGCAGGCTCCCCTCGTTCCCGGGTAGCTGGCACAGCTCAGCCACACTTAAGCTCCGGCTCCTAGGCTAAGTTCTGCACTCACGATCCTCCAGCCGAGCAAGACACAGCCAGCAGCACGCCAGCAGCAACAAGGCCTACCCAGGCCTTAGCTGTTGGGGGCTCTCCCCGTCGACCTCCAGCACCCAGCCATACCTGTGGGCACTCACACCCACACACAAAAGCTCCTTAAAGAGATGATTGACACCAGCCTATGGCAGATGCAAATCCATTGCCATACTACTACTACTACTACTACTACTATACTACTATACGACTACTACTACTATCAAAATTAATGGCAATGAAAAGAAGAAGAATGCACATTATCATCAGTCACAAAAAGGGACTGATTTTACACTCACTTGTACACCAAGAATTTCCAGATGAATGAGTGAATCCAAGTTCTGCAGTCTTGTGATTTTGTTTTTCCCCAGGAACAGACTCTTTAGATTTGTCATGCCATCTAAGTTTTCAATTACCTGTTAGGAAGAAAGTGACACTTAAAACTAATTATTCATAACTACATTTTAATAACAGTATTATAAATATTACAGTCAACTCTTTATCTACACTATTTTCATACTAGAACAAAATTTCTGAGATGATTCATAGGAAAGCCAAGCCACTGATTTTTCTTCTGAGAACTGGGTCTTTTCATCCTTATTATATAAATCTTCATACCGACTACATCCTCACCCTTATCTTATTATCTCCCAGTTCGAGAAGTTCCAGGTTCTTCAAGTGGTTGACGTTCTCAATGCGGGAAATTTTGTTGGCACACAAGAAGAGCTTTTTTAGGTTTGTGAGGCCTTCCAAATTTTCAATTTTCCTTATTCTATTGAAGGAGATGTCCAAGACCCTATAAAAAAAAGCAGGAACAAATATAGTAACAGATATAGTATTAAGAAGAAGAAAAAAAAATGCATGTGGGTACATGTCTAAATTTGCTTGTCTATATGAATTACTTTAGGGGATTAATTTATTAAATAAAGAACTTAATACAAAGCGAGCAAAGGTAGAGCATGCAGCTTTGAATCTAAAACCCTAAGAAAAAGTTTACAGGACCAAAAACTTCGAAAGATGCATTCAATAATACATACTCAAGATTAACTAGCATAGAGAGATTCTCAATCACAGTTATTTGGTTGTCATAAAGCTCCAGTTCCTTTAGCATCGTAAGTGTGTGAAGATTCTCAATTTTTTTGATGAGGTTCCATCGAAGGCAGAGTGTCTCAACACAGGTCAGTGCCTCCAAGTTTTCAATCTTTGCAATGCGACGATGATTCAGATCCACCTCCTGCAGGTGAGGAAAACATATCACATATCAAATACAAATTACATGTGTATGTCCTCTTTCTTCTTTATACCATTTTTTTCTTCTTTTCCACTCTCTGTTCCTCTTTTTTAATATCTTTGTCCTTCCCTCTTTACATAATGCATCTGTATATAGCTACAACCACCTAAAATCTCCTTACCTCTTCCTCAATCAAAATCTCTACATTTATGAAATCATCAACTCATTTCTATCATCAGTGCATATATGTAATAGTAGCTTCTATAACATTACTCATTGCAAGACTATGCTAAAATCATCATTATCTACAATATCTTTAGAGCTAATATATAATCTACTGCTAAAGAAAATAATTTTTAAAGATGTTTTTATAGTTATTGACATCAGTTAGCAAGATGCACACCCAGCCCCAATAAAGGTTAAGTCTGTGCAAAAACATGCCCTTATCCACATTCACACCCAGTCATCCTTGCGCACTTCCATTTAGCTTGCACAAACCTTAGAGAAAACATGGAAAAAGGAATATTACCGATGCAGAAGGATCCAAGATGACTAATTCTTCAGTCTCTCCTTCATCAGCATCCGCTACAGAAAAAGACGTTTTGCAAAATGTTTAAGTTTTCATTTTAACAGGTTCTTCTGTATATGCCACAAAACTCAGGCATACAAAGGGTTGATCATATCAGTCTGTTTCTTTTAAATGAGATTAAGTATTGTGTTTAAAGCTTTCCTAAACTTATGCAAAGATGATTTTAAATCTTTCTTCCAAATTTAATTACTTGTAATGAATGAATTTAAAATTTCACACCAACGGCTGATTATGCAACA